TTTTTTTTTTTTAACTAGGAAAGGCATATGTGTGGTTATAGCTAAGAATCCTGTGATTTTCAGTGTATACTTGTTCTATATCCGTTAAATATCAGACGATGTTGTAATTTTTCCTTAAGCTTAGAAATATGATTATTTTCATTGTGGTAAAATATTTATAATAAAACATTTACTTTTATTTATTTTTTTGCTTTTATTTTAAAGATTTTTAAAGATGATTTCAATCTTTACATGTACAACTGATTTACCATGTTGTACCATCATGTCCATTTCCAATCCTTCTAGTTATCTTTAATGGAAACTCAGTACTTCTTAAGCAGTAATTTTCCATCACTTCCCACCTGCTCCTGGTGACCACTAATAAACTGTGTTCTCTGTGCATATGCCTTTATTATATATAGGTACATAGGTAAAAGTTTATTCTCTTTACATTCATGAGAAGGGTATTTTATTACATATGTATCCCTATTTTTGCCTATTTCATTGTTTTTTCTTTCTTCCTGATGTTCCAAGCTTCTTTCTATTTAGAGAGCTTCCTTTAAACATTCCATAAGGTTTTGGTCTTCTGGCTACATACTCCATTTTCCTTTATCTACCTTGATTTCCACTTCATTATTTCAGGCTATTTTTATTGGATATAGAATTTTGGGGTAGCAATTCTTTTATTTCAGCACTTGAAAAATGTGCTACTTCCTCTGGCTGCCATAAAAAGAGACATCTGCTGTCATTAAAACTTCTATTTCTTCATTTATTGTGATCCGTAAATCAGTCCATTGTGAGAATTTTCATTTGCCTCTTGCTGAAGGCTGTAATCTTTGACCTTCATCAGTTTGTCTTTATTTTTGGCTATCAGTTGTGTCATTTGCATGTCTTAGGTTGTTAATTTGTTGTCCTCTGAGTCTGATGCCACATTCTTTCTTGTTCATATAATCCAGCGTCTTGTATTATTTGTGCAGCATATACATTACTAAGCACAGTAAAGGCTATAACCTTGCTGCATACCTTTTCCAGTTTTGAATCACAGTATTCATTCTCTTGTTCTGTTAGAACTAATGGTTTGGTTTTTTTAAAAATTGTGAATAGGGTGAAACTTTATGATACTATTCTGTTTCATGCCATCTATTGCAGTCCCCACAATGTAACATTGCTCATCCCACTTCCTTCCTGTGTTTCCTGTTTCCACTCCTCCGTCTTTCCGAACCCTTCCTGCTTGCTGAACTTTATCCTTGAGCAAATGCTTTCCTTTTGATCTCAAATGGTTGATTATTCTAAGATGTGCATACCCCTTATAGACTTGTTTATTGTTATGCTGAAAAATCCATCTTCCCAGGGTAAGTTCAATTGTTGGCCTGAAGGGTAGGTAAGTTTCATGGGTCCCACCAGTTTCTAGCTGACCTATAAACCTAGTGTTTTTTTTTTTTATGATTTTGAGTTTTGTTTCACATTCCCCCCACCCCCACCTTAACCAGGTCCTTCTAATGTCATCCTTTCCAGAGCAGTCAGTAGTGGTAGCCAGGCAGCATCTAGTTCTGGTATCAGGACCACAGAGGCTGGGATTCTTGTGGTCCATTAGACCACTGAACTAATAGTTTACCTATATCTTTCATTTTCTTCACTCTTTGCCCTGAAGGGAGAGACCAATAGTAGGACTTTAGATGGCTGCTCACAAGCTTTAAGACTTTATTTGCTACTTAACAAAGTAGGATGTAGAACACTGTCTTTGTATGCTATGTTATGCCAAATGACCTTGGTGTCCTCTGACACTATGGTCACGAGACCCCAGGCCTGGCAACTCATTTTTGCAAGTTACTTGGTTCTGTCTAAGAAATTTTAGGAGAACCCTGTATGTTCTAAAATTATGGACCTGTTTGTAGCACAGGTAAATAAATAGTAGAACCTGTATGTCTTTGTGCCTGTCGTCCCTGTCTCCTCTCCAAACCTGTGCGGTGTGCTGCCCTATCTCCTCCCTACACCTGTGCAGCGTCCTGCCTGGTCTCCCCACACCTGTGCAGCATCCTGCCCGGTCTCCCCACACCTGTGCAGCATCCTGCCCAGTCTCCCCACACCTGTGCAGCGTGTGCATTTATGTCTGTAGCCAGTTGTGTCATTTGTTCTTTTTTTTCTAATTTCTCTTTCTAATTTTAATTGGATGTTTGAACATTTCTCATGCCTTTTCTGATTTTAATTGAACATTCCCCCCTATTTTATTGTCTCCATTGAAAATTAAAAAAAAAAACAACTTTATTGTGAATTGAGTGAAGGTTTACAGTTATACATTCAACAAATTATATACTTTGCTTCATTACATTGATTGCAATCGCTTCATTGTACCAACAGTTAACAGTGTTTATATTTACTTTATTGTGAATATAATTCTTCTGTGTGTCTCCTGCTACCTCTGTTAAGTTTCCACTTGTTTATTATCTGCCTGTCACCCATGTTAACATGTGTCTGCCCTCTAGCCCATGAATAATTGCATCTTGGTGAGTTGTTTGAATCATTCTCTCTTGTTTCTTTGTGTGAGCTAAAATTGTTGTCTCTGGGGCATTGTGATATTGTGCATTTGTATTTGATTGATTATTGCCTGTTGGTGTGTCCTTAGGCTCTCATTGGGTGTAGTTGGGGAATGGAAGCATATATACCCTTGTCGTTAGTGCACCTCAGTTTAGGGTGGGTTTGGTTGGTGTTGACTGCTCCCTGTTGTTGA